TTTACTCTATTTCATTAATGTTCGCGAAAGTCAACACATTCATCATAAATAAATAAATAAAAACTTCTCTGAGGAAGAGCCAAGACATTTCCAAAGCCAAACAAATGTCTTATAAGATACATTTGCTCAATCATACAGACTCGAAAACTTCTCTGAGGAAGAGCCAAGACATTTCCAAATCCAAACAAATGTCCTATAAGATACATTTGCTCAATCATACAGACTCACATGACTACCAAGACTCTTACAAGCTTTGTCACGCCAAATTTAATGGTGAAATGAATAAGTTTTGATATAAATAAGATAACAGTCGATTATTTAATTACATCTTCCTCTCATTAATTTTAGGTTTTATGGAGCATATCACTTTTATCAGATATTTGAGAGCCCATTTGCTTCTATAGTTTCCATGGTGGAAGGCATGTATTTGAAGCTGTTTGTCACGCTCCGGCATCCTCTAGAAATTGTCAAGGAAAGCATGAGATGGAAGATTCTACAGAACCAGATTATAAAGAGCAATTCAAGAGATTCTAGAAGATTTCACCCAATTCTAAAGAACATGAGAAGGAAATACTCCAAAGAGAATTTAAAAATAACCTATAAAAGTTCTAGGGTTATGTTCGTATATATGAATAGTGGAGAACTCTTTCGAAACTAGGTTGTTCTCATGCATTTTAGAAGTTTCTTGCGGGCTTGGAGGGGGCTATAAATAGGAGTTTGTCCCCTTATTTGGAACCATCCAAGAAAACCTTTTAAGCTTCCAAGTATTCAAGTTTTGTAATTATTCTTTCTCTGTGACGTGTTCATCTCTCTAATACTTCTCACTGATCTTTTTTCTTAGATTGTTTTATGCTTACAATATCAAGCGTTGTGAGAGTGGGTTGATTTACTACAAAGGGAGAGTGTTAAAGCCGCACGAGTGACTTGAGTTAAGTTAGTTCATGATAGTTGGTATCAGAGCCTCGATTTGAATGAATTTCAAAGAGTGTTGAAGAGCACATAATTTAGTCTGAAGCCACTAATGTGGCATAATCTCAATAAGGGTGAGGTTGTCAGGAGCAGCAAGATCAAGCCGCATCCAAACCACGTGAAAGGTTCAAGGAGATGGATGACAGTGGAGGAGGCGATGAATGGAGGAGGCAATGAATGACGTGAAGGCCCAAATAAAGGATCTTGGCCAAAATTTGATCGAATCGAGGAGGAGGACATCACAATCTATTCCATGACCAGAGGCATGATGCTCCAAATGGAGGAATACTTGAGGGATCAGATGCCTAGGATGTGAGAGGAATTTGTGGGGGAGCTCCAGGAGGTACAAAGAGCCCACGAGGACGAGATGAGCGGTGGTAGTGATGGCTTGGAGAAGATGCATGGAGATATTTTTCTATGCAAGAGGGCACTAGCGACACCCATCAACCACCATACGTTTGAAGCTAAGCGGATTGAAATTCTAAAACCAAAAAGTTTTGGAGCTCGCAATGCAAAGGAAGTTGACAATTTCTTATGAGGGCTTGTGCAATATTTTGGAGTGATGAGGATTACAAGTGAAGATGTAAGAATTCAATTTGCAGCTCTTTATCTTTCGTACATCGCCATATTGTGTTGTGGTGGAAAAGAAAGCGATGATATATAGAAAGAGGTATGTGCAATATATCAACTTTTGATGAATTCAAATGGGAGCTAAAGAGGAAATTCTATCTAAAAAATATGGAGGATGAGGCTAGAGCCTGATTGCGAATACTTAAATAAGAGGGATAGATTCAAGAATATATTAGGGAGTTCACAAGCTTTGTTTTTTGAAATTTTTGATGTGTTTGAAAATTTTGCTCTTTTCAACTTAATGGATGGACTTCAATGATAGGCAAAGACAGAGCTTAGGAGGTGCGGAATGCAATATCATGTCAGTACCATCGCAATCACATAAAGCCTAATTGATTACTAAAAAAGTCCACAAAGCCAAATAATAAGAAGCGTACATATGTCAAAGAAGGGGAAGAAAAAGGATCAACACAAGGAAGAGACTCGCCATGAATCGACTTCATCTAAAGTAAAAGACAAATGGAAGTTTAAAAATGACATAACTAAACCACATGACAAGTGTTTTTTTTGTGATTGAACACATTAGGCAAGGAATTGTCCTCAAAAAAGGCTTTGAACTCTCTATCAGCCATTTAAGTGAAAGAGAGCATTCCAAAAGACAAGAGGAGTTACTTGGTTAAGGCAAAGACAGAGCTTAGGAGGTGCGGAGTGCAATATCTTGTCAGTACCATCGCAATCACAGAAAGCCTAATTGATTACTAAAAAAGTCCACAAAGCCAAATAATAAGAAGCGTACATATGTCAAAGAAGGGGAAGAAAAAGGATCAACACAAGGAAGAGACTCGTCATGAATCGACTTCATCTAAAGTAAAAGACAAATGGAAGTTTAAAAATGACATAACTAAACCACATGACAAGTGTTTTTTTTGTGATTGAACACATTAGGCAAGGAATTGTCCTCAAAAGAAGGCTTTGAACTCTCTTCTTACAAGTCATCAGAAGCAAGAAAGTGGTGATAGGGTTACTCTCTGTGGAGATGATAATATGGTAGTTCTTACAAGTCATCAGAAGCAAGAAAGTGGTGATACGACAACACAAATGATGTTTATACAATTGTTGAATGGGATGCAAGCTTCAACAAATGGGTTACTCTATGTGGAGATGATAATATGGTAGAAGGCCTGTCAGCACTATTTTTGGTGTGGAGTTTGCCCGTAAGAAGCTGTCGGTCATCGGAATTGAAATCCCGTTGCCCGCTTCGGAAGGACGTTTTAAAAAAATTTAGTTTTGAAAAAGATGAAGTCAAACTGACCCCATAATTTTCATAGTTTAGATGAAAGAGCACTTTATC